AATGAGAAGTGTTCTAATATAGACAATGGGTCGTGTCTCATATTATTTGTTTTATTTTTATTATTCATTATTTTCACTTGACTCGCATAAATAATTTTGTTTGAAGAACATTTATATGCAGTTGTACTTCGCAGCACTTCACTTGTAATTTCTAGTTTTTAAATACTTTACGGTGATTTTTTTGGGGGGGGGGGCGACTGGTGAGGTGGGGCTCCCCTAGATACGCCACTGTTATAAACATACCTGTCTTTATTATAAGATTGGCAGCAAGTTTTTTTTACGCGCTGACAAACTGTTGACTGTTAACTAAGAGGCTGCTTTATGCTTGGTTCACGCTTAGAGAAGGCTCGACGCGTTTGACGCAAAGGCGAGGAACAATACCACAAATGCATTATCGTCAACGTGTCCAGTGGCGTATCTAGCAGTATTAAAATGGGGGGTGGGCGACCAAAATATGAGGGGGTGTGGAATTTATTTTCGGTGGCCACGCCCACTGAAAAATATTGCTTCTTAGATTCCCGAATACACGTTAACCGTGACAGCATAAGCATAAGCCTAGCCTAATTTTTTTTGTTTCGAAGTTTTCGATACGCCACTGAACGTGTCAAACTGCTATAGCGTGAACTAATCTTTAATATGGTATGGTATAAATGGATCACTTTAAGCACATTCAGGCCTATATTGTATAATAGTAATGCTTAAATATCAACCTAATGAAATCACGAAGATGTAGCTTCAACTTTTAATGGCATTGCTCTTTACCAAAGCCTTACAGTCATAATGTTTATATATAGTTGCAGTAGAATCAATGAGCTACTGATTGGAAAGGCAATCAGATAACATACTGTTGCAAACCTCTGTACTCGTTGTCTATAATATAAAACCATCCATGACATATAGTACTGTAAGCCTAATGTGTGGTTGATGAGGGTTCACAAAGATCATTATGTCCGTAGAAAATGAAATGCACTTTATATTGCAATAGTTGCGCTGAACATAGAATGTAAGTGGACACCTGGTGTGAGTCAATGTTTTTAATGTTGACTCTACTCAATGACATATCATATTGACAATGATGCTCTACATACAATCGCCGTTAGAATAGAAGGCAATGATGACAATGCTGATTATAGTAATAGGCCTAGTAGCAATAATTCAAGTCCTTTAATTACTGGTGTTTGTAGCGTCCTTAAGTGCGTTTATCCCAATGGTAATAAACATCGTTAGCTGACGTAAAAACGTTTGGATAGAACCGGTAATAGCAATTTAATTCGTATTCAAACATGTTTTATCGGATAAAATGCAACTCGTTAACACCTCGTATTTATATTTCACATTATAAAACAGGTGTTATTGCGATAGCCAAATCCAGTGATATAGAACCTCCATAGTTAGATATAACATTATCGTGTTGTTAGTGAGATGTTAGTAATTCCGTGATCTTAATGTCATTTTATGTTCTGTATTACACGGCAATTAGTTTTAATAACCTTGTAAGGTTTCGATTTTCCAACCTCGTTCACGCCAAGCCTTGGGCCCCAATCCGCAATTGCATCAAATCTATAGGCATAATTTATATCTATCCATTCATCAATCCTCAAAGCTGTTATGTAGGTTCTGTGATTTACCGTATCTGTCATTGTATACATTCATCTATTTATCTCATTACTACTACTTTTTACTATTGTCGTCGTTACAACCGTGGCCGTCGTCCTCACCAGTGCACCCACTGTCACCTCCACCACCACAGCCACCGCCGTCGTCGTTGCTGTTGTTATTTATTAATTTGCATTATTAGTTATATTTATGTTTGTTAATTTTTAGTGATAATAATAATTCTCACTTATTATGGTTATAGGCCTATAGCACACTTATATAATCTATTACAAACAATATCTTTTCGGAGATCCCGAAAAAGCTAATGGCGTATTATATGATCTATGTTTTGCAATGCATCGGGAATTAGCGCTGCTCCACACATAAACAAGAGTGTGAAAAATCATTTGTTTATATAGGCCTATTCCAAATTCTAGTTAGTTAAGCAGAATGTCCCTGTTTCGAATCCTGATTGGAGCAATTTTTTCACACTCGCAGATTCCTCTCCTTTAATCTATAAAATTATAGCATCAACATTAAGACGGTTTATAGTTTACTTCTATATTGCACCATAATTTATATATTATGTATAATATTCCGGTCATGGATTATTTATACATACGTTATGAAAAATTAAATATGGAATTAGGTGGTTAGAATAACAAATAACAATTACAATCTCTTCTTTCCACGAGACCTTTGATTCGATATGTGGGTCAATTATCTCTGTCTATTATCAAGTCATCACTCTGATATAAGTTCTCAGCAAGGTGCTCTAATTATCAATCTTCGACACATCCAGGCAATACTAGTAATTTATCGTTTTTATTAAATTAATATATTCATATCAACCAATCCTTCTCTCCCCCATCAACTATTACCCACCATAGTAGGCCTCTTAAGTGTTAACCATGATCTCATCGCAATGTTAATTGACAATATATTATTATGTCAATTAACTATCTTAGCAGTTATCATAATTCAATTTGAGCCTGAATTAGTGTATTGTAAATCTACTTAGCCTATTGTGTATTTTGATAAGTCATTAATTGCCGCTTCATACAGGTAGATAAAAATAATAACATTAATAATAACAATAATAACTGATATGAAACATTATGAACTTTTATTCCGCGACTGGTCTTAATAATGCACACCGCAGTCTCATTTACCAGACGCACATACGACCATTATTGCGTAACGCACTATGACGTAATAGAAATGCGTTACGCTCTGCTATCATAATTTCGATGGTCTTTTGTCATTAATCTCAATACAAGCAAACCATGTACAACTCAATGCTTCATTTCAATCACGTACTGTATTCATCAACACAAATAATCATGTCTTTCTAATCGGTATTGCTTCGTCTTGTCACGAATTAATGGCGGTATACGCACGCGTGTATATATCCCAACCTCGTGTCTGCTGGCTTTTCTCTCAGCTTAATTGGCCGGGCTCGTCGCCAACCAATAGCTTGACCTGCCTCAAGTCGTTTTATGAGTGTTTCTACTTGACTAAGCTCACAACGCTTTTCCTAACGGTTTAACTATTTTATATGAATTGAGAAATATCAAACTAGGTTATACCTGCAAAGAAATTACATAGTCCTATACGTAAACTAGTTTTGAAGCAGATACATATCCTATGTTTAATAAATCAAAACTGTTGTTTTATATCGCTACGAATATTTCGTTGCCTAGCCAAGCTCCGAACGCACACAACAACGAACCTAACAAACCTCATTCTACAGCAACATCATTATGTATATAGGACTATATTATATATTATATTATATTATATATATACAAATAATATATATATATATATTTATATAAATATAAATATATATATATATACATATATATATATTTATATGAATGTAAATATATATATATATATATATATGTATGTATATACATACAAATAATACAGTATAGAATACGGTATCCATCAGGATGTATTCGGACCTCCTTATACTCCTCATACAACTGTTTTACGCCCTCACATAGTGGAGCTGTAATAGCTCAGCAATAATTCTGCAAAGTCGCAGTGAAAAATAATAGAAAATAATAAACATAATACGTTAAAGTTGTCATTTTTGTTCTATATAAGCGCTTTATCATTTATCTATTCATAATGTATGTTCACAGTGCTACGTAGTAATTGATTATTATGTTTAGTTACTATGCATTTTTTCCTAGTTGCTCATACGCTAAATACAGCCTCGCCCAGGTTTCGGTTGATAAAAGTAAATTTTCTCGGACAAGGACTTAAAATGGGGGCTAGTGTCCACATCTAGCTTGTGTACAATTTAAAGAGCCCATTCCATCTGATCCGAAGTGTGGGTCACCCCGATGTATGGTTGATTTCAGCCCCTGCCCTTGTGGATTGATGTGAACATGAAACTACTATAAGCTAGCCCTTTACAGCGGCTAGGTAGTCACGGACCACGCCCACACGCAATTCAGCACAACGAAGCTGCCAGTTATTCTCCTACCTTTAACTTTACAAATACGTTAACGACATGTTTTCCTTTGAGGTATTTTGGTTGCATCCTACAGTGTCACTTATACATTTTTACATGATGCTAATCAAACAACACAACTATATGATTTAGATACCAAGTTTGATGTTAACATATAAAGTAATAGGCCTATAGGTCAAAACGGGACCACTTTCCACAAGCAAATTATGTACCTTGGGTAGAAGTTACAATGTCCATTTTTATTTTTATTTTTATGTCATGAACATGGAGTGTACGTTAAGTAATCAACAAAATAAATTACGTCTGACAACGAGTTGAACAGTACAGATATGCAGAAAACAAAACTGTTGACTATAGTATACTGTCAGGTCAAAACCGAAAAATCGTTCAAGAATTAAAAGAAAAAGAACTTACAGACACGTGTTATACTTAATTTAAACTGGTAGTTCTTAAACAAACAACATAGGGTTATCTTTTACAGCTCTACTATTTCCCTAGACAGCGTAGATGAGTACCAACATGCAATCGCTAATTTAAAGTGCATTTTTTTTGTATACATTCTTGTCCCAGATTTTGTTTTCAGAGCATATTTTATAATTACATATATGCCTTCTGGCAATAAATTTCCATTAACTAATTTCTGTGTCTACAAATGATGTAATGTATCGCATGTTTTAATTTTTATCTTCAATTTATATTGATTAAAATATACCCGCTATATTTCATATGGTTCTACAACTAACAAGCGCTACTTTAATTAAATAGACATAAGAATCGTATAGAATTTAAGCCGCAATAAAGCCAACTAATGATACTTAATCAGCCTATTAACGGCCAACATTATTCGATAGAAGTAACACATGTCAAGGGTTTCAAAATACACAGAATATGTAACTGTATTTTTTTCTACCTGCAGGCAACGTCATACATGTCCCTTGGCAAGCCATTGCAATTCCAATTACCTCGGCTGTAGTGATTATTTTTGTGGCAGTATTGTCTGTGCTCTGCGTATGTCGACGTTCACGTTCGCTCAGTCGCTCAACAAGTACACAAGTTGTTCATCGCAAATACTGGCACCTCAGCGAAGATGATACCGACGTAGAGAGTGACGGCGTGGGTGCCTCGATGCAAGATCTGTCGCCTGCCGAAAGAAGCAATCATAACGACTTTAGCACAACTTTTTCTCCAATGTCTTCACCGGCGAAGGTGCTTCCAAGACAGGCAACAGTGCCTATACTTACTCAAAAACAGCGTCAGGAAGCCTTCCGTAAACAACTCTCTCTGCAGGGTAGTCCGTCGCGAAGTGTAGAGTTTGAAATCAAGAAGCATCTGAAAGAGGAACCTAAAATTGGGAACTTGCGGCCGGAGTTGTATCGTAATGATTTCAATGAGGCAGAATCTCGAGGACAGTTATGCGGCAAGATGGAAGTATCGTTAAAATATGACCAGCCGACAGAGTGTTTAACAGTTAACATCATCAAAGCAACCGGACTACCAGCCAAAGACTTCTCCGGTACTTCGGACCCTTATGTTAAAATTTATCTCTATCCAGATCGAAAGAAATTTCAAACTAAAGTTCATCGGAAAACTTGCAACCCAATATTCCACGAAACATTCGAATTCAACGTTGCCTACGCAGATTTATCAGAAAAATCTCTAAAGTTTACAATATATGATTTTGATCGGTTTTCCCGGCATGATCTGATTGGAGAAATATCCGTGGATGATTTGATGAGTAAAGTAGATCCAACAAGTGGTGCAAGACATTTTCAACTGGATATTTACAGTACACAAAGTCAGGTAAGAGAATTGTAAGTTAGCCTATTACTATGATTTCACCTTGATGAACTTATTGGTTATCCTGAGGCCACAAAGTGATTTGTAGTTTACGAGTTGGCTCAAATTATATAATTCACCATTCTACCCTGTTGGATATGAGCTTTTAATTATGTAACTGTCATGGAGTATATTGCCTGATTAAAATCTATTAACCTGAGTTTCATTTAACCTCGTGTTTTTTAGTCTAGAAAAAAGTCGCGGAAAAAAAAGTCTTTCCATGTTACAATTACAGATTTTACAATATATCAAGTATCGTATGAACAAAAAACTAAAGAAAATAAGTAAGAACAGATCCACAAATTGAATTGAATCCCTAAGTGAATTATAAAATCTGGACGCAAAACAAAACTGAATTTATAAATGTGAACATGAATATATAATTATACAAATAATTTAATACTATACATTATAATGAGAATTTTAGAAATTGAGTTCACTTAAATGAAATTAGCTGACAGTATAATCCAGAAGTTTCAGAAGTTTTAGTTAACGATGAAGCGTCATTGGCACAACCGTGGTGGATTAGTTGTGGGGTTCGAAATCATCGCAGTGAAAGGCACCTGTGTTTGGGCAAGACACTTCATCTACATTTGTTTCTTCCTACTCAAGAGTATAAATGGCTACCGGTATATATTGAATGTATCTTAATTCAATTATCCATTAAATGATCAAGCTAAGACTAAGTTTTGTGAAAAGATTCATCAGGCCCAAAACCAGAAAATCATCACATAGTTGCCACAACGTATCAAATGCGCGCAAAATGACACTGAGTGTAGATTATGTACGGCAAAATTTATGAGGAAAATTTAAATTGACATGAACTTTTGACAATGCCCTTTCAAAATAGTTAAACACAACCTTTTTTAATAGATAGTACGAGGAAAAAAGTATGAAGACAATTAATATTGACACTTAATAAAGAAAAATTAAGAAACTCAAAACGCCTATCAAGTCAATGCTTGTGCCTAGAATTACCCATGAGGCAGAGAAACATTCACTGAATGACTAATAGTTTCTCAAAAAAAAAAGGAATGCTGTTAATGATGCCTAAAAGCATGGAAGCTATATTAGGGCATTTGTGGGTATTTAAGAAACCATTTTGTATTACAGAAACGCTCACGTAGATTAAAATGGCCTAGTAAAGGTGACCCCAGAAAATAGCTCCTGTAAAAATGGCCTCCAAAAAACAACCCACCACAAACTGCCTGGAATTATGCCCCATTTCACCTACTTGCCACTTTAAGCCATTTTGTTATGGTAGAGTACATAAATTTAAATTGTGAAATTTTTACGGGACCATATTTACCGAGCCATTTAACAGGGATCATTTTTTTATGACTCCTGTAGAGCAATGTCATGCTAAGGAATAGTAGCTTTGGAACTTCACCAATTACACCTATTCATTTTAGGCGTGGATGAAACTCATCCGATCAATTATCTGCGAAACAGAAACTAAGCATTTCTATACTTCATTTTTGTCATAAAGCTCTACCAATTAAATTACTAATTTCAAATAAACATTTGGTAATTATTTAGTACAATTTTCGTTAAGGTGAATGCATTTGAACTAGTGGCCGTATCAAGAGACTGGTCATATCTCATAAAATTCATTTGGCTGCTCTAACCCAGACACTCAATCACGTATGCAGTAAGTTTATTAGCATTTTGGGAAATTGACGTTGATATTGGGTGCAATTACTTCCATTGTCTTTACACACTCATGGTCATTTGCTAATCAAATTAAGATCAACATTACGATGTGTTTTATTGAGTACGATATTTCATTTGTAATTATTTAGGAAAATTACTTATCTCGCATACTATGAGCGTTTTATAATTGCTACACTAAGTATATATATTCAGAATCTATTAATTTATTATATTATTAACAAAATAACAATATTAAGAATATAGGGCCATTATATTTTGGGTTTTTCTATTCTTCTATTTTTTTTCAAATTTTTTTGCCATATTTCATGTTTTGTGGTGTTAATAATGATCACACCTTTTCTGTCAGGAACAGTCAATAATAATAATAATTATAATAATAATAATAATAATAAAATATGAGCCTCAACCGATAACCCAACCGATCTCAAGATGATGAAAACCTTATCATGAGTTTCGACGGCATAATTTAAACTCAATAATTTTGATTATTTTATTTTCCCTAATTAACAGCAAGCATAAAAGATAGGCCTTAATGTTACTGTGAGTGACATGATTAAATATACTCTAATTATATTGAGAAGTTGAGATCTGTTCATGTCATTGTATGCATAGACCTGAGTAAATATAATGCTTATAATGTCGATGGATCTTTGTGTACACTACTCTTTCGGTTAAATTGCATCTCTTTGGTCAGAGTATTAAATATCAGAAGAATATCGCATTTTATGGGTATAGATAAGACTAACATGTTAATGCATTTTTACGTTGTTTTTTTTATGAAAAAACAAATCACTCCACAATATATTATCGAAGCTTCAATAAAATATTAGGAAGAAAGTTTAATTTGTAGCCCAACGTGTCTACGCAATACTTAAAACAACTCTGTTTAACTTGCTTAAAATGTCAGCGCGTGCTTTAAATGTGTTGATGCAACAAGTCAAATTAATTAGGCCTAACAAATTACCTCTATAATCTCTTTATTTAAACACTGTAAAAACTCAGTGAACAATAAAATGTTCCAAACAAACAAAGTTGTTCTTCCTTGCGTTCGTGTACAATTGAAATAGGAAAAATAGTAAATTAAAAATTATCTTAAAATTACAATATTACAATCAAAATTTTATCGATAAAAAATTAAAACTCTGTGGATTGTCAATTATTGTTTTAATTGATGTTATCTTTAAAAGATACTAATATGCCTAACTAAACACAGTTTTACTTTGTAGGTTTATTTATTCACTCACAAACACACGGTTAAAAGATAAATGAAAAGATCACGATACAAAAATAAAATGATATTAATAATATTGTTATTGTTGTGTATTTTTTGTGTATTGTGTGTTGTTGTTCAATATAAAAACACTTATTTTATTTCTTTAGGCACACATGCACCGGAGACTGCCTACTCCTAGTGACAATCCTCTTCACAAGGCAAACACACACACACGCACACAATGCTTTACACAAAGCTAAATCTCAATATAAAGCATATGGAGTGGAGTTGTTTTGGTCGTGAGAAAAAAATCTTGCAACACAGACAGGAATTCAATGGACTAACCCCAAAGCTATAACTTCACTCCATTCTTTCATTATTATTAAAATCAATCTTCATTTGAAAAGTTAATTAGTTGTTTAAAAACAAGAAAAATGTCTATAATTTATCAAAACGCTTATCTACGATAACAACATTACACTAAAATGATGTCAAAAAGTTGTAAGTTAGGAAATGAATATTTCTGAGGGTCGGACGATTGGTTACCAAGCATTGGCCAGTGACACCAATACTGAGTGACACGTCTTGGTGTAAACGCTTACCTCGACTTACGATATATCTCACACGAACTTTGGATATAGATTACAAAATAATTAATAAATATATCATCAGTATGTGAAGTAATTTGTACAAAGTATAAGAAGATTTTATAAACAATAACTTATAAAAATATAAGTGAGTCTACGTCAGGTGTTTAACGTATGTACGTCATATTTGACCTCGATTCTGTATTCTATAATTCAGAAAAAAAAAAATAAGTAAGGATATCCCGCTCAAAAGGTCGAGACCTGTGAACCTTAGTAGAACCCTTCTCCAGTAGGCCTACCTGAAAAACACTACCGGTATATAAATAAACAAACAAAACCCAATAATTGCAATACAAAAATCTTCCTTCTGAGAAAATATACGCATTGAATATCAATTTATGGATATGTATTATTTCTACAGATGATTAAATTATAGATAATGATAAATATGACATTTTTTATTATTTTCCAGGAAAGACCAGACCTTGGAGAAATTATGTTCTCATTATGTTTTTTACCTACTGCCCATCGGCTGTCACTGAACGTGTTAAAAGCCAGAAACCTTCGAGCTATGGATATCACTGGTGCTTCCGGTAAGTACTCTACCTAATTCGCAATCAGCATTGGTTCGAGTTGATCGTAAAGTTGTCATTTTTAGCAATAATTTAGTGCCACCTAGCGCATTGTATCACTGAATTTGTCATCATGTAAAAAATGCGCATGATTTTACACAAAGTTTTAATAGGCTTAATCAATCAATATATACTTCCAAGTCTAAGTAAGACTTAAATAACACTAATTCATCTATACGAAATTGATATTGTATTAATGGAGACGATGATGATAATACCGAAAACTATACCTACAGGCCTACTAAAAATAAAAAATAATAAATTTCTAGAATATTGATGGTTTATTCCAAGAATGAATATATAAAACGCATATATATAGGCCTTGTATAAAACGAGAAATAAATAATTATGTGATTATATATGTCTAAGCATGATTTAATATATAATTTCAAATTGTTAAATACGGCACACCGCCACTAATACAATTTCCTGTGGGCGATCCTCAGGGATAAATCCATTTTGATTAAAACAATCAACAAATTAGAAAACTACAACTTTGAATTGTTGAAGTAGAACACTTAGGGAAGCTATTACCTTACAAATGAAAACAATCTGCGCCGATTATCAACCTACAGTACACGATTTGAAAATATTGTCATTATTGTTGAGCTTCGTGCAACGTTAAAACCCACAATTTTTACAGAATTTTCAATAATTCTGAAGCTGATAACTTGTGTCGATAACTGTTTACTGTTATAATTGTAATTTAATATGATTTGTTTATTTATTTATTATACAACAGTTTAAAATTATTTAACATGATATTTACCTTTTTTTGTTAGAAATTATTTTTTAATCACTTGTACAAAGTGTATATTTTACCGTGTAGAACTGGAATTAACCTATTATTAATGGTAATGTTGGAGTGCGCCCTCACTATACCTACTGAATATACACTGCCTTACATTTATTAATTATGGTAATAATAATTAAATACAGATTCAGAAGGTAATAGATTTGTGCAAATTGCTATTATGTACTGACGGAAGATAATCTATTTGTAATTGGAACTAGGTCTCTGCTTTTTACGATTGAATAAAGCAATGACTTTTGTTAATTGTCATCTTTGTGAAGCTTGTAATTGGTAAACAGGGAATGGATTCTCATTCGACTTATTAACACTAGAAAACAAAGATCATCATAGCGGCAACTACCACAATTTAAATATCTAACGATGATATTTATAATTAGTATACTGATATGTATTACATTGTTGTCTTTATACGTTCTGCCGTAGGATTTAAATCATTTTAAAACTAAGTATATTTTTGGAGTCGAAGGACTTCTAAGAGTTCGGTCTCTATAGTATGCCTACTGTGAAGATATTATGAAATAATTATCAAATTTATTTTACTTTAAGATATAGGAATACACATAATAACAGAATTTCATAATGATAATAATAATAATATCATCATTATTATAAATAATAACAATAATAATAATAGGATTCCATTATAATAAAATAATAATAATATTATTCATTATTAAATACTAATAATACTATTATTATAAATAGTAATAACAATATTAAATAACAACAGTACTAATAGCGTAGCAAAGTGAATAATAATGATGGTTGGCGCGTGAGCATGCATCTGTCATTTCATGACTATGGCTATCATGAGCTATGGCTATCATGAGTCTTGACTTGAGGTAGTTAGGCAGGTACACCCGATGCCTTAAGGATTTTCGATTTTGTCGAGACTGTCCGTAGCAGTTGACGTTAACTTAAAAATCCTCTTGATTGATTATTACTTCATACTTCGCGTTATATGATTTCATACCGATGGCATACGTTGCCGTATACACTGTCACTTATGACAAGTGATAGAAGATAAATATTGCGATGACACGCGAAGGAAAATGAACGTTTACAGTGGCATATATCAAATTTATAACTGTAATCTTCACTCAGCATTTTAATATTTTATAAATTACTATTGTGATGTATTATGATAATGCTTTAATTGTGTCTTGTTATTGTTTGTTTGGAGTTGTTTTGTTTTAAGTATTTCACATAGCCATTTGAATGTAATCTGAATCTGTTATTTCATTTCCTATAATAATAATAATAATATTAATAATAATGATAATAATAATAATAATAATATAAAATAATAATAATTATAAACGATTTCCAACTTAATGTAGGGAATTTTGAATGTTTTTTAAAATTTAAATTAAACTTAATGTATTGATTCTTTAAATGTTTTATGAATTTTGTATCTTGATCTTGTGCAAGAATGATTATTTAATCGATCAAGTTTAGTTTTACTTACTGTGCTTTCATTTTCGAGTTGAAATAAAGCTTATATATAGCAAAAGTACACACAAAAAAGACAATAAACCAAAAATAATACCTAACAAATATTTATATTAACAATTCAGTGGGAAATAATAGGTCTGTAGGAGATCCAATAGTATTGAAGATACAAATTATCTTTTCATTATATGGATTAAACCAGGCCTTGGCAGTAAACCGTCGAAAATAATTCCTATTGAAAAAAAATTAATTAAACACTTATTTCTAAACCCATGTGGATTTCTCTCTTAATCCCTTTCTAAAAATAGAAATAATTCTGTTAATTTTTGTGTTGCTAATATTTCTTCTGCTTCAGATTCCCAACAGGCCTATTAAGACTTGATCAAAAAGTATCAGAATAGCAAGAGGTTTGTCTGCCACAGTTTCTTTGAAACGTAATCCTATCGCGAAAAGTACTACCACGAAGTAGGGGCGCCCTTCAAAAATCCGTAAAGTGGTTGATTATGCTAAACCTACACTCATAGTTGAACTTGGCATTAGTTTTTCCAATTATTTTGAAGATTTCATGTGTAATAGGCCCTGCATGCGCTAAAAATATCTGATTAAATGCGATTGCCAATTAAGTTAATTAGTTTAAATATATCTCATTTATGAAATTAAGGAAGAAAATAATTATAATAAATTTCAATAGTTTCAGTTGTAATAAATGTGCCTAGAAATGCCCAATGAAATACGATTTCTAATACAGTTAATTAGTTTAAAGATTTCTCATTTGTTAGAAACATCTTCACCAATATCAATTTCAATGATAACTAGTGAAAATAATCGAAGTAATGAAACGTATTAGCCAAAAGCAAGTGATGAATGATAATTGTATTCATTTCTATAAGGCAAGATTAAAGATTCCTATTTCTGCACATATTTTTCTTAATCTAATAATTCTTATGAAACAGGGTAGGGCATAGCGAGCTTATAGGAGTGTGCGAGGTCGGAGCAAACTCACCGGGTCAGGGCTCTGAGCATTGGCAAGAGATGCTTCAGTCTCCTCGAAAGCAGGTTGCAAACTGGCATCAGCTGATGGAGAGCTCACCCTCACTGTTGACTGGTAGCAATCTAGGATTGAGGGGCTGTATAACACCGCAACAATCTACCGACGACTGAAATTCGACTAGAATCATCGGTTTCAAATTGTCGCTTGACTAAATTGAGGTAAAGAGCTGATTTGCTGTTTTTGCAAAGAGCCAGGAAGGAGGTAACTGTTACACGAAAGAGATGATTCAAAGGCCTCAACTTTTCCTGTGATTTCACGTTATGAACCAAATATTTTCTTTAAAATTAATAATTCTTTTAATTTAACAATATACTAATTAGTTCATTTTACAAAATGTGCCACCTATTGGATGTTATAAATGTAATAACCATGTGGCTACGTTATTTTTGTACTTCTTTTACATTAAGCTTAATGTTTTGTTTGGCCAGAATCCGCAGCAAATTGATGTGTTAACTTGAGGAAATTAATAAGCATGTAGTAAACACCAGTCTAGGATGTTGATATTGGAATGTCAAGTTTGCAAAGAAATTATTCCAAAGTTCGCCAATTATGGCATTAGTGAAGAAAATACATCTGTAAAAGGCTGTAGAGGTTGTTCTGTCGATACGGACACGACGTCTGATAGACGTCTGATAAAAAGCTGGGCGGGACCAATATAATTGTAAATATGTACACAGATTGAAATATATATATTTCAGACTACACTATACCATGGTTCACGTTTGGTAAATCTTGTAATTCAAGTGTTTTTTTAAGGTGTGTCTACACTATCAACTTTTCTGTGAAAATATCTATAATTGGCCATATTTGGGCATTAAGATGCCATATTACACTCATATATAGCCATATTTGGGCATTAAGATGCCATATTACACTCATATATGGCCATATTTGGGCATTAAGATGCCATATTACACTCATATATGGCAGATTACAGATACCACAAACAACTTGATGGTGTGAACAGAGCTTTAGATATCATTTTGATCTTAAGCACAAACTTTAGTGCGATCGTTTGATGTATATTTATGAGTACTCAGTTGCAGATCACTGTTTTTGAGATAATTGTGTGTAAAAGTTGATTTGTGATTCAAGAGTTTAAAATAACAATTATGTTGTGACTACTGTGCTAAATATCAGGTGTTTCATATTAGATTCTTAACAACCATAACGAATGTGTTGTTACCGAAGTTATTTGTACTTTTTTATAATAGTACGGTACGTGCCTAAAATAATATAGAGATTATTTACTTATATTTGTGGTTATCATGTCTGCGATCGCTTCCAATGAACTATAGGCTATAAATTTATATTGATAATAATGATAATATGATGATGACAATAACATGATGTAAACAAACTGTCTCTACAAATAAAATCATACAATTTCTCAAAGCTATTTACTCAGATAGCGTTTGCTTGATGTAGATGTCGTATAGGTAAACCACCAAGTTCTAGTCAACTGCTAGCGTACAGGTAATCTGTGCGTGTATGTGCGTTTATACAGTCGAATATCGTATTGATGTACATGCAATAGAAGCATTGTCTTTAGCTAACGTGTGTATTGTGAAAATGTATAATGGTAAAAACTTTGTAAGGGATAATTTGGAAAATCATTAAAATGTATTGTCATTCAGGAAATAAGCAACATACCTTTGATATTTATGACTTCAGATAGGTCTGCTATCGATTTCTAAAAACAGTTAGCCCAATAAAAGAATAATGGAATTGCAAATTCTGATATAATTGCTGCCATTACCGTCCAGGTTTACTTGAATTGAGTTGAAAGAGCCACGCCTTGATGTAAGGTTGTTTCATTTTTTATAGAATAATTATTAGTAGCACTTTTGTACGTTATGTTGGTGTAAAGTGTTCACGGTTGTAAATACTATTGAAATGTTTATAGATTGGTAAAATGATGAAGGTTGTAAATAATATACTGCCTAAAGTAGACTGGAGATTTTAGCTTGTTAAATAAATGGATCCATGTCAGCTCGTTATTATTGTCGAATTTGACCTTCGACTTGTATCTTGTTCATATAGAAGACAATTAATTGTCGCAGTTCTTGGCAAATAGTTTTAATTATATGAGATTGATCTGCACTGCTTAATCAAATCGGTTTTAATTTGCTACTGAAGTAATTTAATTTCGTAAGTTTATTTATTTATTTATACATTCATTCAGTCAAAATCAACAACATACAATTTGCAGTGATTACATAAAAGTGATAAAATGTAAAATAATTGGATGTAGAATAGTTTGGTAACACTAACAACTACTATAATGTACGAATAATAAATAGTGTATAACACTGTAAATCAGTAGTTAAAATACAATTAGGCCCTATATATACACAATAAAAACATTAAAAGCAGTACAAATATTTAAATAACACTAAAAGGTTATTTTGACCAGGATAGACGCAAAATTCAATGTGGTCCGGAAAATTTGTATTTAAAAGAAAAATCGTCAAATTGGTTGTGTGACTTTGAAATTAATAATATATTGTATTTCATTTACGTTATAACCGCGTTTCAATCCTCTGAAAATTACCTACAAATACTGCAAAGATTTCATTCCCAAATTCACCCCCTAAACGTTGGAATTCGTTGAAGTTTACACGAGAAGACAGCAACTTGAACATCGAGTGATGATTGAGATTTAAAACCGCGCCAATGGTAACTTGTCGTCCCGGCCCCAATTTTGCTTTTCTTTGGTATACCTGATGAGAACTGTTTTTTTTTTTTTTCAATGTAGTATGATCTTAAACACTCGAATTATGGAGTGCCAAGTGGTATTGTCAAGTGTACCTTTTTGAATAAATATTCATATGTGGGACATTGATATTAATAAATTTCCTGGCATAACTATAATACAAAGAAAAACATAAAAATTGTAAAAACAACAAAATAAATAAGAAAAAAAGCAATAAAAGCCGACATATAACAATTATGGATCTATACCATGCAGGATTGCCACCGTAGAACATTACTAGGGCACATTGAATATATGTTCTCTTTCCTTTCAATTCTGAAAGTGTACGATAGTCACACATTCCAGACACGCCTCAAATACTATATTTTGTTTAACCTTGGACAATTGTTCCGAAAATCATCCCCTCTATTTTTTCTTCTCTCGCGCCGCCATTGTTTTGGTGGCATTCGAATAAAAAATTGAATTAGATATGCTTCCTAATACTGACGCCATAAAAATATTTCTTAAAAAAATACCCTATTAAACAGTAAAAACAGAATATAAGGGGTTTTTTTCAATCTCTGTTCCATTGTTGGCAATCGCAAATGCTGAAGCCGCTGTTCAACTTACCCTTAAACACTCTGCAGAGTGGTGTATTGATTGCAATAATATGCTTCTTCTTGTGGGGGACCAAGACAGGTGCACTGTATTCAATAAATGTCTAAAAATATCATTAATTGAACGAAGACGAATTGTGAGATTAATAAATCTAACAAAACCCTGATAAGCCAACAATTTTAGTGATTCCGCTAAATTCCATCAGAAACGTGATTGGACCCAGATAGATCTTGGAAAATCAATACCAAGATACCTGTGGAAGGAAACTATAATTTAACAGAACTAATAAGATAAGTAAGTATAACACACTTTTTTTCCTTTTTTTTTTTTTTTTTTTTTGCTACAAGTACTGTACCGCAATATGAAGAATTTTACACTCATATAGGCCTATCCAATTTCGATTTCCATTTATTAAAAAAAACCTCCAAAAAGGAGGAAGACACGTCAAACACGAATGCTTATGACTGAACATCAAAATATTAACAGTGAAGAAAGAATTAAAGAGAACATCAAAATGATTAAAGTAGTCATAAATATTAGATAAATGTGAATCTAAACATGATAATAGGCGTTTCTGTTCGGTCTAATGTGACCTTATCCTCCGCAAGCACTAGAAGATCAACAAAATTGTACGGTAAACAACGATTATTATCATTTTATGTATTAAGATGAAAAACATACACCAAACAATGCCACCCACGACCCATTAAACGGGCTTACTAAGTACAGAAGCAATCAGTTTAATTCCCTGCACGAACATTGTCCCTGCACGAACATATAGAACGATATTATAGACATATAGACATTTTAATAATCAATAAAGGAAAATTACTGAAAACATGAGCATGTTGACGGTTGTAGGTCGTATTAATCTCTCCATATAATAAAATACTTTTTAAAGGAGCTCGTTGAAATCATGGCGCTAACAACTCCATGTCAAAACATGAAATGTAAACTAAATTGCACCTGAATTAGCCACCATTGTGCACACATCACAGTCTGTTTAAGGCAGCAGAATTCAGAAGTAATTATTACTACCACAGTTCGTCCTCCAATTTGAGTCGCCTCTAAATCCGAAACCCATTTAATTTGAAAACGAACCAATAGGAATTACTGTACAACTACAGTTCGCCCTCCATTTTGAGTTCCCTCTAATTTCGAGACTAATTTGACAGCGAACTAGAAGACGGAATTACTATACTACAGTTCACTCTCAAATCTGAGACCCTTTAATTCAAGAGCGAACCAGAATAATTAATTACTACTACGATTCTTCCTCCAATTTGGGCATTCTCCAATTTCGAGACCCAATTAATAATTTTCAATCTTTTTAATAAAAATTAACCTATAATTGGAGGCCAAGGCCTGAGACTGGCTACCTCTCCAATGGGAAGTCCAGGGTTCCAATGGCAGGGGGAGGGGGTGGTCCAGTCACCTAAACCTCAGCTAGTGCCGACACTGATTTCAAGGTCCTAATTTAGAAGTGGTCTCGAGTAAGAAGGGGACTGTGCTACCACTACCGTACTTTTTCAGCCCTTGTCGATGTCATCATGAAGCTGCTATAACTTCATTGTGATTTTCAGTTGATGGGACAAACTACATTTTGGATTATTTGCAAACTGATTTTCAAATTTTCAGTTGATAAGTTTGCTAAATATTTTTAAGGGTTTTGTGAAGTTTGTACTGTCGACCATTCTTATTGTATTCGTGTTTATATTTTATGATAATTGTCTTCAACAGGACCATTTTTAAAACAGACCATGGAGGAATTAGTTTAGGAGATACAACCAGCGAAGATCAAAGGTACAGACCTCTTTGCCGCGATCGCAATTATCTTACTCTTACGTAACGTACTAAACTAATTCCGCAATGGTTACACCTTGTCTGAAATGGTATCCTATATAAATATGTTTTGAATGAACGAAAAATAAATAAGCACCTTTTTGCGGCGGCTGAGTCACGGACAGTGGCGTAGTGACGGGCCCCAGTGCAAGATAATTGCCGGGCCCTAAAAGGAACCTCATCGGACCCAGTAGTGGGGTCTACTTATGCCAGTGCTCCTACATTCTGAGATTCTTTTAAACAAATACGGCAATTCAATATCTATAACATATTTTTAAAAAAATACAGTATTAAAGGATATTGAGAAACAATGTGGTCAAAAGTCATACATACTTTATCGTTTAAGGGCCTACTGAGCATTACTCTCTCTGAGCCGACTGGACCCCCTTGTATTCTCCACTGGTAATGTTAGTGATGTTTGTTTGAAAAGCGGGTCTGTTTGTCGGTGGTCGACCTACCCAAATTGTCAAATTGGTGAGATGTCATGCTTATATTGAGAACCAGTGTTTGTGATACTGAGTTTTTCACTATCTGATCATCGGTTCAGGTAGCTTGTTCGTGGGTGACGCGCGAAAATTTCTTGGTGGTCCCCTCAAAGCTATCCAATGTAAGAGCAGCTTAGTAAAATACATTCTGATAGAGTTGATCCTATAGACCTACCTCACATAATAAATATAATCATTGGCTAATGTGCCTATAAAATATATATCAGTGGTGGCGCTAGCGAGGAGAGAGCGGGGGTGGGGGAGTAGGGCCCTGTCGGAGAGAGCTTTCCCGACCCCGTCGGGGAGAAAAGCACAATTCTTCGGGGAGAAAAAAGTTATATTATTTTTTTACAAAAACGATTAAAAGCCTTTTAAACCCCTAAATTTTCAGTCTTCTGGTTTCTTCTTCCCCTGGACTACTTTCGAAACATTTTTGAGCGACGCCCGACCACGCCCACTTACGTTCTTGTCGGGGACATCGGTTCTCCATGCCGTCGGGGACATTAGACCCGCTCGTCCTGACACATCTAGATGTGGCCCCCCCCCCCCCCATGAAATATATAGGCCTATATGAATCAAGCATGATATTTTATGGGTATTTTTTCGATTTTTATAAGGTTTTAACCCATTATGCCCCTGGTTATAAATTTTGGCAGTGAGGGACCAGAGTGGGGGAATTATCGCCAGCTCCACTATCGGGAGAAGCTTTGGACCCATTCCGAATATTCTGGAAAATTCCTGGCCCCGCCCACTTACGCTCTAGTTGGGGATATGATCTACCCCGTCGGAGACATCGGCCTTTCACAATCATAGACGATTGCGTTCATCAAAGTCTATTTTCGTCCAAAAGGTAAATGATGCCAATTAAAGCTATAATAATAGTAATGATTGGCTATACAAATTGGAATATTTAGGCAAAACAAAAGGTCGCGTTTGTAGGTGGGGGTGATTGTGTTGTTTTATTCGTATTGCGAAATAGGAGTAAATACTAATGTACTTTTTATTGTATTAATTTCACATCAAGCAGCAAGTAAGTACCTTCTTCTTCCGTTTAGTTGCCGCCTTCATCTTATTGAAAATTCTGCAACAGTCTGGTGGTGATTGGCCAGTACACCGGGAGACAAACCCCCCACTCTTTTCCGAATAGTGTACAGCGTTCTTTGCACACGGGACCAACGGCTTAAACGTCTCATCCGAAAGACGGTGAGCAATCGTAACTTTAATTTCATCCCTCCAGATGAAACCACGAAAACAGCGATGGGAATTGAACCGGGGACCTAGAAATCTCCACGGTTCAGCGCACACACAGTGGCTACCATCAGTTTAGCCGACTGAGCTAAGCAGCTCTCAACCTCGTGAACTACAGAATTGAATGATGCTTTTGTAGAATAAGTCTCAAATTAGAAGAGCTGTTATTAGTGATGAGAAAAAATCCTGTGTTTGAATTCAGGAGCATTGGATTTAAAGGCAAGCATTTAAGCCACCGAGCTCCACTCCAACTATGTTACTCAGTGTTTACTTATGACAAAAATGTATTACTAATACAGGCCCTTGTCACTCCACGAGGCTTATAATAAATACATACACAATGAAAGCACCTCTAGACATTTCTACTACTACTCACTTTAATCTGCATCTTTCTTCACTTTTAAAGTATTTTCCAATTTAAAATGTTATCGGTATTGGATCCATTATTATTATCATCATCATCATCATCATCATCATCATCATCATCATCATCATCATCATCATCATTACCATTATCTTCCATTTCACCATCGTCATTGTCATTTTCTTCATTCCTCTGTCCCTTCATATCTGTAACGACTGCTATGTCGCATTAAGTGCACAATCTATCATTTCTTCCATAGTTTGTTCATCGGTTATCTCAGCTCTTCTCAAGAACCATCTTCATTAATTTTACTAAATATTATGTTAATTGATACTACCGGATAATTCATAAGTCTATGCAATTCGTGAGGATTTAAAAAAAAATTATTTTGAATTAAAAGCTAATAAAATAAAAATAGGTAATTCAATATTAAGTAACCGATACAGTAGCCGTTTGCCATTACTGTATATTAGTCTAGTCGGAAATGAGTACCGGTACATTTTAGAGCGATTAGTTGATAAAATAATATTTCATATATTGGCCCTAAGTCAATTATAATTATTATTTAATATTGGAGGAAATAACTAATATTATTAGTATGAGTATAATATTATTAGTATGAGTATTACTATTAATAATCAGCTTCCCATTTTTCAAGTTTAATAAACCTGCAGAAAAGGTCGAAGTAGGTCTCTAGCCTACTAAAAATGTTTTTAGTTCCATCACGTTTCTCGCGTTAGGAAAATGTAAGCATGATGGATGAGCGCTTGGAATAATATCAACCTTTGTTGGCTTATGCATACGATTGTATTTATCCCCCTAGATAATTTCTATTCATTGAGACTAACCGCATTCTAAGTTTTGAAGATTCTTTCGTCTTTTTGGCGTCCCGTAATCTAGAATTCTTAAAATTAAGCTGCAGTGAGATTACGATTTTTGTTAGTCGGATGAATTCCACTAACTTTAAATATCTTCAGCAAAATGCAACGTCTAGTCGCACAGGAAATTCTTCGAGAACTATCGGGGGTAGGACGGGAGCTGTCATCGGGTACCGTAGTGACGGTCAATAATTAGGCACTTTACGCAACAGGGCGGGAAGACGGGTGGACGGTGGTTTTGTGGCCATCAGAGCGTCAAGATCACAGTAAAAAATTAGGGCACTTAACCCGAATTCTTGGCATGCGTAAAGTGCCTATCAGTGTAGCGGGCGCCTAGTGAAATATTACTTTGAAGCAAAATGATGACATCATAATCAACTTGTAACTTACATTTAGCTTATTGTCTAAAGTCAGGCACACAAAAAAAAAAGAACTTCATCCGATACCTTTAAGAGTATAAAGAAAACAACAAGTTAGATAGAATCTCAATCCTGCGTAATATTTGACGCGCGCGGTATCTTGCGGCCACATGGTTTTCATAGCAACTACGGTACGGTAACTCGTGTGTTTGATGTGTACAACATCTCTCCTTCCATCAAAACGTTAGTCATATTTTATCACCATTTTGCTGATAATAACATCGTAACCATGTAAGTTGTTTATGTGACTAAAACAAAATCTATATTTTATTAATTATTGTAATCCAAATAATTGTGTTACGAAACTGGTGGTGTGGGAAGTCTATAGGCTGGCCTAGGCCTATGAATGATGATGTCTAGCCTAGGAGGCCTAGCCTAGCCCTAGGCCAAGTCTAGGACATAGTATAGTCTCCTATTTAGGCCTTAGCACAGCAGCAGACTATTTTTAGCCTACTTGGCCTACCAACCAGCCTAGCTTTGCCGAACTTGATTAGGCCTGGACCTATCGTCTTCTAATCACCTCTGTGCTCATGGAAGAAATGATGCACTCATTAGGGAAAGATGACGTAAATTTAAATTATGAATGTGTGATACTACAGGCCTAGCTACCTAGGACCTTAGATACAAGATACAAGTCAACTTTATTGTCAAAATAATACATTCTGAGATATTTGTTGTACATGACATAGAATCGTTCATAAACATATAGAGTGTTAAATAAAGATTTCTTAGAAAATAAAAATTTGAGTCCTGTGCAGTTATCTTCTGAAATTTTGATTAAATAGATTACAAGCGATGTACAATGCTGAATTTTAAAATTTAAAACGGTTTGTGGATATTTTGTTTTGTTTATGTTTAACCCTTCCCGATCTATTTATGATAATGTCTGAAAATAATGGATGGGATGAATCTTGCATAATTGAAATAAATTTCTTAAGTAAAAAATCATTAAAAATATCTTCCAAGGACTTAACGTCGGCACCAATCACTCTTCCAGCCTTATTTACAATTCTCAGTAATTGACATTTACTGTCTGCGGTGATATGAGAGAACCAAATAATAATACAATAAGAAAGAATTGACTGGACAACCGAGGAATAAAACATATGAATAAGATGAGAGCTAACATTAAACCGTTTTAATAGTAGTATAGGGTAGCCGGTGAGGGCCGGGCCCTACTTTGAGAATAAATATTAATTAATTATATTTTGTTATCGGTAGGAAGATTGTAAGTATTTATGAACATTCTGTTTCACTCTGAAAAAGCAAGTGATCATCTTCATAACATTGCACCATCCATCTCTGACCAGTCGCTTTAATTAAATGCAGGCCTATAGTATTAATATTATTATTGGATGAGATTTAGTATGTCACTCTTAAGCCCTTGAGACACGGAAAACCGACGGAAATCAGCCTTGCAGTTGCGTGTTGTATAGTTTGAGTAAGATATAATGACCAAACATTAGTCCCACCTGTCACCAAATAAAATATTCTGAATTTTAAATGGCATAAAAACAAATTTATATCAACTTAAATGATAAATCCCTTGGTAGTGTCCCCTCAGTGCTCAAGGTTTCAGTACGTCGGGTTCACGATACCCAGATAGCTGTCAACCGATTTAAAAATAGTTTTCTCATACGATTCAAATTTACAGAAGCATGACGTATCCAGACAATGCATTATGACTTAAGATATGCTAATCAATATCGAATATTTTGCTTCCCTATTGGGATCGTTAACAATGATAATATTTTTCTTCATAGAATGCCTATTTCTAGCAGTGCTGTTCAACTAACTCATTTTTATAATCGTAAAGACTATTCGTCGCACCCGCAACTTGGGAAGTACAGCTCCCAGGTGTCGAGATCTAAACACTTGAAGCTCCCTGTTATATCGATGATGCAAGAAGAGGATGCAAGGTTAGTTATAATAATATGTACTGTACTTGATATTGTCAAATTTATATCAAGGCGATTGAGTGGCTGGCGCTGAGCTCACCGTAAGATCGCCATGCTTTTTTTTTCAATAATTTCACAACAGAATAGATAATAATTATGATAGGCTTAATACTAATAGCTGAATTAACAAGGACAAGTTTGTGGGTGTGTTGTGTTTTTAAGGTCTTTCAACGCTAGCTTAATTGAAACTAGTAGTTTACATCATGCAAAATCAATAACAGCCGATTTTGGTGTACCATTTGTCAAAATAAAATGCAGTATATTATTTTGGTTAACGTTAGCGATGATAATAAGAATTACATGTTAGAGGCATGTTAGAGGAAATGTTCGTCACGACTCATGTAGGTTTTGTGTTGACGACAAGAGCATATTAATACAATGTCGACATAATGCTATTTATTAAATTGCATTTTATCTGAGAAGCCTATTATCTTATATGAGTTTCATTAAAACACCCCCCATTTTTTGGTTTTTAATAAATCGAATTTTCGTCCTCTTCGCGCGATTACTCTTCGCATTGGTCATAGGTATTATTCAATCATTTATTCGGTATATAAATCAACATTTTGAGGCCTGACATAGCATTAGTATAACATATTATAACACAGAATATCACATAGCTATACAATTAATACAGATATTGTATGCAAACTGAGGCCAAAGCCTGATTTTTGTTTTCTTATTGTGGCCTCTGATATAGGCATAAATGTCATATTTGGCGCGCGTATCATTCAAGTGATGTGCTTTAAGAATGGAGCGCACATTGTTACGTTAATCTAACGAGGCTTGCACATTTGTAAGGGTTTATATAGACATATACCGGTAACGGTTAATTAATAATAATAATAAATTATTTTTAAATACTTTCTTTTCTTTTTAGAGCAAAATTGCATCACGCAGAAGTCTCTGTTAGTGACAGCGATTCCCGTGAAAACTCCCCTAAACGTCACGTAAAACTATCGAAACGTCACCAAAGCAAGCACAATAAAAAGTCCCAGCAACTACAACAAGACTTCTCCATGCGAAAGATAAGGTTTTTCAGCAAACAACCAGAATCACGCCCCCTGACGGTGTGTTTTCCATACCCAGGAGTGGACCTATCGCATCGTGAAGTACTGGACGCAATTAAGGGTACTCGACTAGTAGACGTTAATCAAATTGAATCAATTCAGTTTATTGATATGAATACGGTTCTGGGCACAGCCGGCGCTGACAACAGGTATGACCATGGCATGTGGCAGCTTATCTACGCCAATTAATCATTAATTAATATTGATTATGAACGACAGATACATGACTACATCGTGTAGTACTGATAAATGGCGGATCAAATTTAATACCATAAAAATGATTAATGGTGATTAATTATACTACACATTATTATAGTCCAAATTCAAGACATGGCTAATGATAAGATTTATGATGATGATGATGATGATGATGATGATGATAACAACGTCAATGACGTCGGCAGCGACGCCGACGAACGGTCGATGACGACGATTGGGGATGGGGGCGGGGAAGAACAGACATGATGTGGATAAATGATGGTGATGATAATGATAATGTCTTATACACATCTAGATGTGTATAAGAGACAGGCCCTAGGCCAAGTCTAGGACATAGTATAGTCTCCTATTTAGGCCTTAGCACAGCAGCAGACTATTTTTAGCCTACTTGGCCTACCAACCAGCCTAGCTTTGCCGAACTTGATTAGGCCTGGACCTATCGTCTTCTAATCACCTCTGTGCTCATGGAAGAAATGATGCACTCATTAGGGAAAGATGACGTAAATTTAAATTATGAATGTGTGATACTACAGGCCTAGCTACCTAGGACCTTAGATACAAGATACCTGTCTCTTATACACATCTAGATGTGTATAAGAGACAGGAACCATAAAACAGTAGGCCTACTGCAGTGTTTCGTGTCTTTGTCTTTTTTTTCGGCGCTCTTAAAAAAGTCGGTATAACTTCAAAGGTGCTCGTAAATTGTGATTATCAGCAACTAGTACTGTATTCATCAAGTTTCTAATTAATATACTCTTTAAGTGCTGTCTCTTATACACATCTAGATGTGTATAAGAGACAGATACTACACATTATTATAGTCCAAATTCAAGACATGGCTAATGATAAGATTTATGATGATGATGATGATGATGATGATGATAACAACGTCAATGACGTCGGCAGCGACGCCGACGAACGGTCGATGTCGACGATTGGGGATGGGGGCGGGGAAGAACAGACATGATGTGGATAAATGATGGTGATGATAATGATAATGTCGACAATGGAGTAAAATGTTCAAGTATAATAAAAGACAATAATAGTAATAATAATGATAATAATAATAATAATAATAATTAAAAAAATGTAAATAATAATAATAATAATAATTCTTATTCTTCGTATAGGCCTAAGTGGTGAAAGACTTAAACGGACTGTATTTTTTTTCTTTTCTCTCAAGTTGAGACGAAATCAAAATGATGTTGAAAATGAAATTCATATAATAATAATCATAATAATAATAATAATCATAATAATAATAATAATAATAATAATCATAATAATAATAATAATAATAATAATAATAATAATCATAATAATAATAATAATAATAATCATAATAATAATAATAATAATAATTATAATAATAATAATCATAATAATAATAATCATAATAATAATAATAATAATAATAATAATAGTGATACCTATCGTAATTGGTGCACTTGGAAGCATATCGAAGAAAGCAAATATCTAACATCAATGGAAATGCACAGTTGTCGGCCATCCTTGGAACAGCTCATATATTGAGAAAAGTGCTGTGTCTTTAAGCTGCGGGAATTAGCCGAGACATAGCTAAAAAGACCAAGTAGAATATCATGAACTGGAGGTAGATGCATAATAATATTATTAATAATAATAATAATTATTATTATTGTTATTATTATTATCGATGGGATAATTGGTATTTGGATTTTGCTGAAAATTCTTCTGGGAATTATTTGGATCTTGTTGGTTTAATTGTCTATGCGCCTTGAGTATCTTTGGTGGAGATGTGCGCTTTATAAATCTTTATTATTATTATTATTATTATTATTATTATTATTATTATTATTATTACCATCATCGTTATTATTATCATCATTATATCACTTTTATTATTTTTATTAATAATAATATGAAATTGTGATCGGAAATTTTATGATTAGGTAAATATATTCCTCAATTTTAATTTTATATTTTTCAGATGGCTTATAAACGTTAAAGACTACGACACACGTTATCTACTACTGCGAGACGGCATGCGAATAAAAAACACCTACGTAAATATCAGACGTTACGACGACGTCACGAATGACGAGTATCGAGACTTTTTACGTCGGAAATCAATACTGGAAAGTGACGCGACGAATGCCATACAACGCCTCCTCGATATGTCTGCTAAAGATATGTAAAGTACTGTCGTAAATTATATTTGTAATATAAACACAGTTGTGTTTGTGCTTCCATCTAACTTACAGCAAGCAATTTTAAATTCTTTCACCAATAACTGATCATGTTAATTGTAATGTTTAACAAGTTTAAGTAATTAATAATGTACATGCACTCATAATACTCTTGCCTCCCATTTTTACCGTGTGTTAATATTTTATTAAAAATGTTCTCTATTGAAGCATCGGGTATTTCTTTCCGTTTCGATCGAGTCGGGTTTTTTTTATCTTTTTTGTTTTTTTGTTTTTTGTTTTTTGTTTTTTTTTGGGGGGGGGGGGGGGGGGGGGGGTTAAGGTGGTTACGACAAACCGCCCAAAAACTGGAGACGGTCCGGGGTTTAAGTTTGTTTAAATCTATATTGAAAATGGGTTGTATTCCACGCCCGTAAATCAGAATATCGTAATAGAAAGGGTTTCCCAGATGTAAAAAAGATGCCAAGGCGCCCTGATAACGTTCAGGAAAGCTTTTTGATGGGTCTGGGGACATATTCATGGTAAATTCCATCCGCATTTTGATGCTTGGAGTGTGTGGTTTGGTTTATCAAAAAGGGGTTTGCCTCAAAATGGGGTTCGGCCTAACCATTGCGGATCATCTGGTTACGGGCCTGACGTCATATAGCTGCTCACGACAGTTCTAAGCAACGGGCGCGCAAAGATATTAAGTTACGCTCTGTGCTACAGCCATCACAGAGGAAATTCAGGATCCTTATGTTCATAGCCATAGAACATCAAGACCAAGACGACGTCAATTGCTGACGAGTAGGCATATTATTTTTACTTGGTGTATTCATGGAGTTATTACCTCTATGGTTTATTCACGGATTCGAGTTCCATTATTCTCTTCTTGCCGGTATTGACCTGACCTGATAAAATCAACTCTCTTTTTTACCGAATATTGCTATCTGTAAATAGTAAATTCTCCAAATACTTATTATTTGTATTTTTAATATATGAAAGAGGAACGAAAAAGCCCAAATGTTGCATTTAAATGAATTGAATTTCACTCGTTATGACAGACATCGATAAAACAGTTACAGTATTCAAGTCATCGGACAAAAATATGTACAAACGATTCTTCTGGTTGGTTCATATCTTCACGTTGTGTCTGTGTTTAACGAATTCATGAATTCATAATATAATGAAAAGTAATATCAAATATGAGGGTATTTAACGATTGAGTACACAGCCGCCCATGTTTACCGAGGTATCAATAATGTGTTACAATAGTCCTGTGCGTTAGCAACGAATTCTGCAAGACTCGGATAGTAAGCCAAACTATACTTAAGCATGGATAGGGTCTAATTGGATAGGTACAATATTATTCATATCTTCGATACACCAAACATACATACCAGTGTTATTGTATTTTGTATTGCTGTCCGAAGTATAGGACCCAGACAAACCAGCATCAATCCGTCAACTACCTGCAAAAAATTGTTCGCTTATGCAAATGAGGACCAGTCCCATGGTTCAGCAGAAAATAACAAAAAAACGAAGAGTGTGAAAATATCTATTATCAATACTGTGGTTGTTAACCGGCATTATGCCGGAATCTTAGCCGTCAAATTTTGTCATTTTGGAACACTGACCAAACTTGATGTCTGCTATTTACCCGTAGGATCTGTAAGCAATCTGTGCGCTTTGCTACCCCGGAGAAGACTTTGTAGGCCTACAGGATATCCGTAACTGAAATCCATCCTCTACATGGCTTCATTGCAAATGGCATCGTTCGCTTAAGAATTAAAATTTCTCTTCTTGAAAATAGGCCAACTTGTGGGACCAGCTTATGTATAATTATTATCGTACGGCTTATTTGTATTCCTTAACTCGGAGCAACTCTCTATCAGGAATCTTACATTCTAGTAAAATTTCCAGATCCAGATGGTTACTGCAAAAGATGACATGACAATCGTAAGTGACAACAGATAAGCTCATCAACTAACAATATACCAAAATTTTCTTGTGAACGTATTTGCTAATATCGGATAACAGTCGGAGAACTAACAACTAATATTGTCTGTCTTCACTTCTTCTTTTCTTCATCATGATCATTTCATTACTTATTTTGCTAATCATTACGGTGACGGCTAGCATCAGAGCTTGGCAGCAGAAGAAAGCAGATAAAACTTCATCAGAATCATCGTCCGAAGAATCACCACAACCCCCGTCCCCACCACCACCCGCACCACCATCTTCATCATCATAATTTATTAATAGCACATCATCACCCCCATTTCATTACTTATGTTTGGGACTCTTATGGATCATTTCTTCATGAACATTTTCGTTGTATCATCATCATCATCATCATAATCAGTTTATTATTACGATACGCACGCATGTAATTAACAGGTAAGCTCTCATTTCACTCGATCATCACTTCATCTCGTCTTTTATTTCACATTTAACATGAGTTCGAATACTAATGTGTGATTTTTTTCCTCAAACTAATTTTAATCAAAAATGTTTCTACCTGTAATAAGTATGTGGTGGTTGTTTATCACACGTATTATTCGTCGTATCCCACAATGACAGCATGATGGTACCGGTAGTTTATTATTATATCTATTATTATTGCTGTTATTATTATTATTATTATTATTATTATTATTATTATTATTATTATTATTATTATTATTATTATTATCATCATCATCATCATTGTTATTAATTATTATTTATATCAACATCATTATTATTATCATCATCATCATCGTCAATATTATTCTTATTAATATCATTGTATTAGAGCACACTCACACCAACCATTCTTGTACCAGTCATTGTGTTCAACCCTCCCAGTGATGTTAATGTACTTGCATCACATCATTCAAAATGCTTCACTACTGTAATTCCAATAACAGAGTTGTAAATTTTGCATGATCATCTAAGCTGCCTATTTAAAGTAGGCCTATTCATCTTTCCCTGGACATAGGCCTTACTAGCAAGTGCAATGACGCTTGGCCTATCTGGCCTCAATATACCTACCTAGTTATGTATGTTCATGTGCTAAGTCTATCCACATATCATCTGTATATAACAAATTGGTGTTTCTTGATTTTTTTACAACTTAATTCGACATGAGCTAGTGGACTGATTCGCCCCTGATTAGACTACTCAATGTTTGAAGTCTTCTCCAAAACTGATTTGTGCTTTTCTACTTGTACCATGCGAATCGTTATACATACAGTATAGGGAATCAATAATTATGCCAAGGACGTAGGCCTAATCAAATGAAAACGCTTTAGTGATCACTGTTTTTATACCTCTTTTGAATATGGCTTAGCATGAATTTATGTTTGAGTAGGCCTACCTGCTATAAGCAGAATACACTTGTTGATAGGATTAAAAATCGGTTTGCAAATCGATCAGACTTTTCTCTATGCAAATATATTTAATGAAACATATCGTAGCAACTTCAAACGCTCAATTAAAAACGTTTACTGCTTTAATCATGGTATTTGTGACAGTATCAAACCGATTCTATATGAAAATCCGTTCCCTGGCAACAATAACCTTGATCTCATGGGGCTACTGCTGAAGTCGTTTTGGTAACATAGTGGCAGAAATATCCGAGTTTATAATAAATCAGTGTTCTTAAAGTCTACTACTGAAGTTGTTTCATTATTTT